GAATAGAATAGAATAGAATAGAATAGAATAGAATAGAATAGAATAGAATAGAATAGAATAGAATAGAATAGAGCTGGAAGGGACCTTGGAGGTCTTCTAGTCCAGCCCTCTGCTCAAGCAGGAGAATCTATACCATCTCAGAGAAATGGCTGTCCAGTCTCTTCTTTAAAACCTCCAGTGTTGGAGCGTCCATAACATCTGAAGGCAAAGCTGTTCCACTGATTAATTGTTCTGACTGTCAAGAAGTTTCTCCTTAATTCCAGGTTGCTTTTCTCTTTGGTCAGTTTCCATCCATTGTTTCTTGTCCTGCCTTCTGGTGCTTTAAAAAAATTAATTGAACCCCTCCTCTTTGTGGCAGCCCCTCAAATACTGGAATACTGATATCTTGTCAGCCCTAGTCCTTCTTTTCTTTAGACTGGCCAAACCCAAGTCCTGCAGCCGTTCTTTGTATGTTTTAGTCTCCAGGCCTTGGATCATCTTAGTTGCTCTTCTCTGAGGTTTTTCCAAAGTCTCAACATCTTTTTTGTAATGTGATGACCAAGACTGGATGCAGTATTCCAGGTGTGGTCTTATTAGCTTTATAAATGAAAGCTTTATAAATGAACTGTTCTAAGTTGAGGATTGCCTATATTACAATACTGATACATTAAGAATTCATTGTACTGCTGATAATTCATCAAGGTAGTAGTAAGTGTTAAGGGACGAGTAGCCTAGAATGGAGTGTAAAAACTGGCTATTACTGACTGAATAATGGAATCTACGACTTTCATACCCTGCCTATCTCTGTCAAACTCATCATGTCCTTTGCCTGCGTGTTTTCATTCTCGACCAACTGTAAATGGGAAAACAATGTATACCTCCCGATCCGAGAAAAGATCAGCCAATGTGACAAGCCAAATATCCAAACCAGAAGCTTCAGGAACACAAAACAGTATAACAGAGCCAACACTGGATTCAATTGCAGTGGGACAGTGACATCTGCTGTCCGTTTCTTTCTCTGCAGACCCACGTTTTTTTTTCCCTGTTGTTTTGTTTTGTGATGCTGCAATAACAAATTACAGTAGCTCGGATCTCAAACCTGGGCACTGAGCAACCGGGTGAGTGCCCATTCCTTGGCCCAGCTCTGCCCACCTAGCAGTTCGAAAGCATGCAAATGTGAGTAGATAAATAGGTACCACTTTGGTGGGAAGGGAACTGTGTTCCGTGCACCTCAGCGTATAGGCATGCTGGCCACGAGACCCTGGAAAATGTCTTTGGACCATGCTGGTTCCCTGGGCCAAGAAATGGAGATGAGCACTAATCACACTTGGCCAAATTATTCTATTCTGTTCTATTCTGTTCTGTTCCGTTCCGTTCCATTCCATTCTATTCTGTATTTCTATTCTATTCTATTATGTTCTGTTCTGCTCTGCTCTGCTCTGCTCTGCTCTACTCTACCCTACTCTTTTCTGTTCTGTTCTGTTCTGCTCTGCTCTGTTCTATTCTATTCTATTCGCAGAGACAGGTTTTGGACTCTATTGTGGTCATAGGTCAAGGGCTGCTGTAGATGATCCCTTTTTCAATATGGATTTTATTACATCACACATAATAATCCATCCCTCCTTTGTGTTTTTCTCTTCTTTATTTTCACAGCCTCTGGGCTATAAAATCTCCCACCTCCCACATTCCCACATGGGCTGCTGGATAGAAGAATCCAACTGATCATGGGGAGAAAATGGCGGCCCACCCCCTCATCCTCACCACCAGCTTTGTTTCCCCAAAAACAACAGCTGGGCCTTTTCACAACTTAACAATCAACGGGATTCCCCGGGAATTGATCTCCTGGTGGGGCCTCTTGTTCAAAAGCACAGCAGTGGGGGTTAACTAAACAGTTGGCAACCTCGCTTTCAAAGGAGTAGATGTGTGTTTTTTTTAAACAAACAAAAAAAGTTATCTGGGTTTATCATAATCTACAAATGGAATTAAGGACACATTGGGAAGTTTTCTATAATCCTGGGTGGGAAGTTTTGTTTCTACGATAAGTGGTTCTAGACCTTCAGGCATCAACAGAGCTCAACAATATTTCTGTCCATCCTGCACACACACACAGACAGACAGACAGACTGCATCCTTATCTGGGTTTCTGCCTCTTTTTTCCAGGAAAACAAAAGCAAGGAATGCAAAGCACTGACGGAAATCACTAATAACAGGGCTTGTTTGCCATCTGGTGGCGCAGTGGTTAGAATGCAGCATTGCAGGCTAACACTGCCAACTGCCAGCAGTTCGATTCTGACCGGCTCAAGGCTCAATCAACCCAGATTGTTGGGGGCAAGAGGCTGACTTTGTAAACCGTTTAGAGAGGGCTGTAAAGCACTATGAAGCAGTCATTTTGCACAGTTTGACGTCTCGCAAAAATAATAAGAAAAAACACATGCCAATTTTGTTTCTTGGTCATTCCAACATTTTATTTTCCGGGAATACTTTTAAGTAAACATATTTGATGATCAAAACTTGGGCAAGGAAACTGACATCAAATCGTCCCTCTCAAGGTTTTGAATGTATTTAAAAAAAAAAAACTAGAGAAAAGTTTCTACCTGTGATTTACATTCAGAAAATGGAATATCACAACATTCCTGCCTCAAGCGGGAGAAAAACAATAATCAAATCAAGGGCTTTAGAAGCAGATCCAGTTTTAAAAGGGGAAAGGCAGGAAGCAGAATGCAGTTTTTGCTGCAATTCGGATCAATCGAGACTCAGCATTTACGAAGGAGGAATGTCCCACTGCTGGTCCTCAATTTATGACCAGGATTGGGACAAGAATTGCTAAGCGAGGTTGTTATTAAATGAGTTGTGGCTTTTACAGTCTTGTTTGCTACAGTTGTTAAGTGACCCAGCCAGTCATTAAGCAAATCTGATTGCCCCCACTGACTTTACTTGTCAGAAACCAGCTAAGAAAGTTGCAAATGGCGATCACATGGCCTTGAACACATGACCTCGATCACATGACCCCAGGATGGTGCATTCATTGTAAATACATACTGGTTGCAAAGCGCCTGAATTTTGATCACATGACTGTGAGGATGCTGCAACAGTCATAAGTGTGAGGACTAATCAAATAGTTATAAGAGGAGGAGGACTGCATGCAATTATTCCATTTCTCCAAGATTCAGACCTGGGAAGATTTTAAAATAAACCTTTAAAATATTTTCACAAATGTCTTTCTCAATGAAGTTAGAATTGTTTTGGCCCATCTAGTTTTCTTTCCCACCTTCCCCCACATCTTTTCCTCTAATTATCCCTGAAATATTACAACATACTTTCCTTTCAATTTCTTGTTGGAAAGGAATCATTTTTAAAAAGAAAAAGAAAAGGAAAAAAAAAGGAAACGTTTTGTGAATTTTTTTGCAATAAAAAAGGTACGCTTTGCAAGAAATTAACTGCTGCGCTAGGACTGACTCACAAAGGTTCGGCTTCCTAGCAGGCTGATCCACCACACTTAAGCAACATAATAAAAAATGGCCAAGAGAAAAGTCAACATTGCAAATGTCTGCAAGCTTTCAGAAAGGACAGAACGACACTCCTCGTTGTGATCTTCCCTGTATTTCAATAATGCCAATAGATGTTGCAGTACTAGGTTAGCACTTACTCACAAATAAGACCAATGGAGCTCCTAGGTCAGTGTCTAGTTGGGTAATCCTAATGTTGTCTTTGTTTGTTTTGTCACACATGCAAGAAGAGATCCGATGCCTGGCTTTATAAAATGGCTTCATTCATTGGTAAGAGCTGCTTTTGACAGTAAGAAGACTAGTCGAGATTGAATTAGCAATCAAGCGATTCTCCCCCCCCCCCCCCAAAAAAAAAATCAGGCTTCTTTTTAGAAGAAATTGAACAGAAATTTACCTTTTCTTTTTCCCTTGCTTAGGGGGACCTACAAGAGGATTTTTTTTGTTCTGCAGCAGAGTCCAACACAAAAAGGGAAAGAAAGAAGAAGGAGGAGGGAGGGAGGGAGGGAGGGAGGAAATAAGGAAGGGGGAAGGAAGGAAGGAAGGAAGGAAGGAAGGAAGGAAGGAAGGAAGGAAGGAAGGAAGGAAGGAAGGAAGGAAGGAAGGAAGGAGTTGCTTATATCAGAAAGGGATGTTCCTTCAAGTCATTTTAAACAATTCCCCCTTATTCTGATCAGTATCCCATCAAAGGGTGCTGATGTGTGTTGGTGTTAATTGCCTACATGGGAATGGACAAGGAAGCCTATCGTGAAAGAACAAAAAACAACAATCCAGAATGAAAACCAACATGACATTCCCTTCTCAACCCAGTCACCCTCTTAAAAAGTTTATCCTAGAAAGGGTATATTAACCTTCCATCTCCAGCTCTCCCAGATTTGGAGACAGATAAGGTCCCCTCAATCTCGTAGGAGATGTTGAAGGCTAGATACCAGTTTGGGGATGAGACAATCTGGTTCCCCGGGCAACTCTAAGAGATTCTTTTGATCTGGAACATTTCACAGGCTTCCACTCATCCTTGGCCTGCTTCTTAGCGTCCAACGAGAAAGAAGCCCAAGAGAAGATACAGCCGCATGAACACGCTTTTAAAAATAATTCCCCCCAAATGTAAACCGAACCAATGAACCAAAACACATCAGCCAATATCATCAGTGGAGGAGAAGAGCATAGCTAAGACATCTAATCAATCTTCCATGGATTTTTTTTCTCTCTCTCTCCTCTTTTTCTTCAGTAATTTGAACAACCAGCACAAGGAGGAGAAATTGGGAAGATGGACAATTGACGGAGCCTTTTAGCTATAAGTTCACCACCATCAGCTGACTAGTGGCCAGAGGGAAGCAGTTAATATTTAGTGCACTTCTTTGATTTTTTTTTTATTGTAATGCACCAGAAGGCAAGACAAGAAACAACAGATAGAAACTGAACAAAGAGAGAAGCAGCCTAGAACTAAAGAGAAACTTCCTGACAGTGAGAACAATCAATCAGTGGAATAACTGGCCTTCAGAAGTTGTGGGTGTTCCAACACTGGAGGCTTTTAAAAAGGGGACTGGATAACCATTTGTCAAAAATAGTATAGGGTCTCTTGCTTGAGCAGGAGGTTGGACTAGAAGACCTCCAAGGTCCCTTCCAACTCTGTTATTCTGATTGCTATGTTCAAGCAGATGCCTTTGGAACGGTGTCGACCAACCAAGTCTCCATTAATGTCAGCAACAGTTGGACCTGCAACTAGAAGTTGGCCACTAAAGTCACAGTTTTAAGCAGCAGCTTGTTTGCTTCAACCCAATGTATCTTGGGAATATGCTGAATAAACACTGGCGAGGCATTAGTAAGAGCAAAGCAGTTACATCAGGGAAAGGGGAGTCATTAGTTAACCAATATCTATTTGGAGTGAACTGACTTCTCAGGGGCTACAAAGCATGGATCAAAAAGAGCAGGGTGGGATGTGCATCCTTTGCTCTAGAGCACTTGCCCACCCCCACCCCCATTTTTAAAAAAGAAGAAAGAATTAGGACAATTTGGTTAATACAACAGCAGGAATATCCATGGACATTCCAGTTAATTTTCTTCCTCTTCCACCATCGTCTTGTTCAGGGGGCTTCATTGGAAGTGACGCCGTTGCCCTTGTTGACGTAGAAGGGGCGGTAATGAGACTGGATGGAGAAAGCAGAGAAAGAGAGCAGTGAGCGGGCTGGTCTTCAGTCAGCTCCATCAACCCAATTAGGTTTGCCTGCCTCACTGACTGACTGACTGTCTCTGTCTATCTATCTGTCTGTCTGTCTGTCTGTCTGTCTATCTATCTATCTCTATATCTATATCTGTCTGTCTGTCTCTATCTCTCTATCTATCTATCTCTATCTATCTATCATCTATCTATCTCTATATCTGTCTATTTATCTCTATCTATCTTTATCTCTATATCTGTCTATTTATATCTATCTATCTATCTATCTATCTATCTATCTATCTATCTATCTATCTCTATCTGTCTGTCTATCTGTCTATCTATATCTATATTCTGAAGAATGCTAAAAACAAAAAAGTGATTCCTGGGTAGACTCATGTTTAACTAGCAAAAATGCAAGAACACCAGGAAATATAAAACTATAAAAAGTTTTAATGTTAAAATACCAAGCTTTCGCTGGCAACTGCCAGCATCGTCAGTGTAGCTTCCAGTCGATGGGAGAGGCTATGTATGGATATGGCGTTCTTTGCGCCCGGCTCCTGGACCTTGTTACAGGTCCCAGCCAATCCACTTGCACTCTGATCGTAGTTTCCGTGTTGCTGATCGTTATTTTCTTGCTTTCCTTGTTTGTATCTATGTCCCCACCCCCCTCCTCATGTGGCCGTGGATTGGGGGAGCCTGTATGTTTTCGCTGTTTGGAAAGGAGGATGAGGAAAACACTTGGCTTTTTAAAGAGCAGCTTGGGGTCCCTGGGGATCCCTGTAAATCCAAGAGGCTGGTCTAAATCCTCAATGCTTCCTGTGGCCCCTCAACAGCCTCTTCACAGTCTCCAGAAATCTCTTGTGGCAGATTCCAAATTCTAAATCTGAATGAGGAGGGAGTTGTTAAATGCATGACTGGAGAGTAATCACATGGACTATATTATTTTTAATTAAATCTAAATGTCAAGGAAATGAAGTCCATTTCATTTTTGTCTTGATTTCCTCCCTCTTCCCCCCCCCCCCCCACGCCAACCCCAAGAAAGCATATACTCCAGCAACTCTCTGTCTGCCCCTAAAAATTTAGTTGCAGCAGCTTCTGGTAGAGCAAATGAGGTGATAGATGCTGGGATGAGCTTTGTACATTTTAAAATTAATACTATTGTTGATTTTGATGCCAGGCTCCAACAAATCCATTCTGAAAGGGTCTCGTTAAAAATTTAAATTACATTTGGCCCCCAGTTTATTCTTTTTGCAGCTCTGATCTGATGCAAACCAAGGACTATGCTTCCAATAAAATGTACCGAGTCGAGTGTTAACCTTGAAAGTCTATTGTGCATTTCCTTCTTCTTCCTAAAAATATATATAATGTACCAATAGAAGAGAATATTTGTAATTCAGGGTCGAATTGAGGGGTCCTTGCTTGTCCTCTGAGCTTGGTTGTTTTCCTGAAGATGTTTCATTCACCAAACTAGGTGACATCATCAGTGCTCGGATGATATTACCTACTTTGGGTAAAGAAACATCTGCAAGGAAACAACCTCAGCGAGCACTGTCAGCATAAAGAAACAGATGTCCTGTCCTCACTTAAACACAAGAGAGGCACAACGTTGAGCCTTAAATACGTGTTTTCCATGCCATCAGCAACATTGCAGCACCCCAATGTGGCCCCACCCTGTTTCTATGTGGATTGTGACATCTCACAATGATAAAAGGGTGAATTCCTGTGGACATCACCACACCCAGCATGCCTTCATCTCATTCCCAAGCGCTGAGGGGACAGTTTTAAGACATCTTTACTTGCACTGATGCTTTCTGTCTTCCTCCAGCACCATCTAAGAGGGATCCAGAATCTGTTAGGCTTTATCCACTATTCTCTCAGATCAGGAGCTCTCCAAAACTGGCAACTTGAAGACTTGTGGACGTCAGCTGCCAGAATTCCTCAGCCATCCATCAATTCTGGGAGTTGAAGTCCACAAGCTTCTGCTGGCTATATAAAATCCACTTTAAGTGCATTTTGTCTAGGAAAGCTTAATGTTGCTTATTTATCAGTCCAATTGTTTGCTGTAGTGTCTAACTGGGGCACATAAATGGACTTTTTGAATTCCAAGCAGTCCTTCTGGATACTGTCAAAGCTAGTGTGCATTTTGTCTGTTCTCTATAAGAGCAAGGTGAGGTTGGGGGCAGAAATGCTGGAATGCAGAACAGGACTTGAGGAGTGGGATGGGCAGACATTGTCTAGCACCAGAAGTTTTTGCTTTGATTTACCACCTACCTGGGCAGGTAAGGATCCAGCAGAATAAAGACCCCCATTTCTGCAGATTGCAGAGGTCAGATGTGCTGGCACAGCCAAGCTCAGAATACATTAAAGCAGGGTTTCTCAACTGCCGCAAGTTTAAGATATATGGACTTCAACTCCCAGAATCCCCCAGCAAGCCAGCCCGCCATGGGGATTTCTGGGAGTTTGAAGTCCACACAACTTAACGTAGCTGAGGTTGAGAAACTGCATTAGAGTCACCGTGTAGCCTAGGATTTTTAAATCCCTTTCGTATTTTCTGCTGTTTCTTAGGATGCTGTGCAGTTAATTATTTTCAGCATCAATATTTTCTGCCCAAAACAGAGCTTAGCCAGTGTCTTAATTGTTTTCTCGTAAGCCTAAGCCCTCCCTGACTACAATTTCTTCCTCAGAGACGGGAGAGTGAAATGCACTAGAGAATAAATCTCAGGGCAGAGGACTGCTGGGACAGGAGTGTTTCTAAAGTACAGGTACTCCTTGACTTACAACGATTCACTTAGTGACCATTTGATGTTACAACGGCACTGAAGCAAGGGAGTTATGACTGGCTCTCACACCATCACAGCATCCCCATGGCTATATGGGTTTGCAGCAACCTGGGGATCATGTGGTCACTATTTGCAATCTTCCTAGCTGGCTTCTGACAAGTAAGAGAGACAGTTTTGTCTAGTGGTTAAGGCACTAGGCTGCAAAGTGGGAGACTGGAGTTCTAGTCCCGCCTTAGCCATGAAACCTGGTTGGGTGACTTTGGGCCAATCACCAGGAGACCGGGAGTTCTAGTTCTGCCTTAGCCATGAAAGCTGGCTGGGTGACTTTGGGCCAATGGGGATGGTGAGTTCTAGTCCTGCTTTAAGTACAAAAGCCAGCTAGGTGACTTTGGATCAGTCACCAGAAGACAGTGAGTTCCAGTCCCAGTTTAGGCATGAAAGTCCAGCTGGCTTCCTGACTTTGAGCCAGTGACTCTCTCTCAGCCCAACCCACCTCACAGGGTTGGGGTTGAAAATAGGAGGAGGAAGGTGTGTTGGATATGTTCAGACTGCTTTATTTGGGTGACAATCGCACAGGCGGGATACAGATAAATAAAATCACGATAAATAAGTCAATGAGGGAAGTTGGATTCACGTAACAACCATGTGTTTCGTTTAAGAACTGCAGGGACTTACCAGCATGCTTTGCTTGGAAGATTTCCATGTCTGTGGCTGCGCCTTAGCAGTCTGGTGCCTCACGATGGAAGGATAGGCTGGGAGGGAGACACAAGGCAGCTTCGGTTATTTCCAAAATGCGCTTCCTCACCTGCACTGCTGTGCTTTGCTGAAGCAGAAAAACATGGAGGGCCACATTATCCCGTCTCACCTCCACATTAGTAAGGTCGAGCAATTCCAGAACAGAGGAGCTTTTGAGCAGACCAGAGTAGGAAGAGATACAGGCAAGTCCTTGACTTACAACTATTTGCTCAAAGTTATACACTGAAAAAAGTGACTGAAAACCGATCCTCACACCTGTGACTGTCACAGCATCCACGTAGTGACATACTCAAAATTAGCAAACCGGCATGTATTTAGGATAGCTGCAGCATCCTGTGGTCACATGATCACCATCTGTGACCTGGCTTCTGACAAGCATGGCCAAGGGGCAAAGCCAGACGGGCTTAATGATCACCCAATTCACTTAGCGAGTGTCCTGATTCGCTGAACAACAGTGACAAGAAAAGTCATAAAATGGGCACGACTCGCTTCTCAGCGGCCATGCCTAGCAAAGAAAATTCTGGTCCCCCTGTGATCGTAAGTCAAGGACCACCTTGATTTTTCATTCTCATGTTTCCAGCCCAAAACTCAAACAAAGAGGGCCTCCAACCTGCAAAAGCAAATGGATGAAGTCTATGGGGCCACCATTTTCACTGAAAATCGTTCAGAATAATAGAACAACGGAGTTGGAAGGGACCTTGGAAGTCTTCCAGACCAACCTCCTAGTCAATCAGGAAACCCCATACCATTCTGGACTGTCCAATCTCTTCTTAAAAACTTCTAGTGTTGGAGCATCCACAACTTCTAATCATTCCACTGATTAATTGTTCTCACTGTCAGAAAATTCCTCCTTAGTTCCAGGTTGCTTCTCTCCTTGATTAAAACTCATTCCGTTGCTTCTTGTCCTGCCTTCCGGTGCTTTGGAGAATAGCTTGACTCCCTCTTTGTGGCAGCCCCTGAGATATTGGAACTTTGCTATAATGTCGCCCCTGCTCCTTCTGTTCATTAAACTAAACACCAGTTCCTGCTGTTCCCTAAGTAATTGTGGTCATAAGTCAAGGACTACCTGTAGGAACAAACAGAGAGGAAAAGACAAGCTAGGAAGGAAAGGGGCCAAAGGAACAACAAGTAGAAGCCCTGAGATACCATTCTTAGTATAGAGGCTGCCGTCAGACTGCTTGCTGAAATCCCCGGGTGAACTCTGGCCAATTGGGGGAAACTGATATGGCATCTTGGTTCCATTGCCAACTGGAAAATAGAAGAAGCAACATGATGGTGAGGTGGATAGAACTCTCCATGTTTTCCACCCCGTTGGGTGTGATCCCCCAAGTGCTGAACGAAGACAACAAATTGATTGATTGATTGATTGATTGGATGTATGTGCTGCCCATCTCAGAGTCGAATTTAGGCTGAAAAATCCCAGAATCTACATCAAGAGAAGATCAGGAGTGGTCAAGTCTAGCAGGAGGACCACCGCTTAAGGAAGCAGGTTGAGTTTTCTACTCAGAAGCACTGAAGAGCTTAACCTGCTGTGTCAGGAAAAGGAAAATTGAAAACCTGAACTCAGTAGAGATCAGGAAACTGTAGGGGGAATATCCAGCCCTTCGAAATTTTGGGGTTTCCATTGGCATAAACCCAGATGCCAAGTTCTCCTCAAATTTTCCAGGGTCCCCGTATTTGTACACGTATTCCTACAAAGACGTCAGGTAATAAATATTACATTCACTCATATATTTAAAAAAAAGAAAAACGAAAGAAATCCGCCATCTAATCACATCTGATGTTGTTCTTACTTACTTGCATAATAGACCTATTATTCTCTTAATAATAATTAACGTCATACTGTAATCTTCTCAAAAGATTACATGATCCCTTTTCTTTTGGAGAGGAAAAACAATCTAGGCAATTGCGTTACATTGTGGATACCACAGTTCTGACACAGGGGGGAAATAGTCTGCAAAACCGTTGTAGACCTGGACACAGAAACAAGGTTAAAGGAGAGGTGGAAACCTTTCAAAACGAAGGAGGGAAAATTGAGGTTAAAATACCTTTCAGGGAGAATGCTGAGTTCCCAGCTGTGAGTGTCTCTTCGGCAGTTTGCATGGAAGAAAACTCCCAACCTCGGGTGTTGTAATTCCCTCCCAAATTTCCTCCTAAACGAAAGAACAGTCAACAAGATGAGCAAGGCTTTTCTGGAGTCATCATTGAAGCAGTAGTAAGCGGGAGATTGGAAGGAGATAATTGTCTCTTTGGGGAAAGAATTTTGTTCAGAAAACATTTTTTCCACAATGGTTTCCTCTGAGTGGACATTTAATGACTCACTCGTGGTCTATGCCTTGGTCCAATTAGGTGGACACTTACACTGTGGAAGACAGAAATAGACAGGTCAAGATGCTCTTTTTGAGCCAGGTAAAGAAATTGAAGAATGGTCTCAATTTAAAATAGAGACAATTGAATCTATTTAATTGTGGCTTGCAGAGGTAGCGAGGAGATTCAAGTTCTCCTCTCCTGGTTCTTAGTCTGGGAAAACTGGAGCAAAGGTTTGCTTCAGATCAAAGTCAGGAAAAAGAAAACCATCTCCAAAACCCCAAAATGGACAATTGGATACTTTGTGTGGAAGGGGTGGTTTTCGTTACCTTTTGGAGACAAGAACATGGAAAACCTCTTCATGTTATCCGGCTGGTTCCAGTCGGAAAAGTTGTTCATCATGTAACGGTGATCTCCTACAAAATGAAGACACCGAAGGAAAGAATCGTAGTTGTCAGGAGATAGATACACAGCAACGACAACATGAGAAGGATTAGGTAAAGCATTGTAAAGGCAGACCAATCTGTACTTCTTAGCTCAGATGGAGCGGGTGGAAATATAGATCAACAATTGGTGTTGGTCATCAGTGGACAAGACGGGTGGGGACTGCCTTCAGAACCTAGGGGTGCTCCATCATTGAAGGCTTTTAAGAAAAGACTGGAGACCCCCTTGTCTCCAGACCTTGGTATAGGTCTCCTGCTAGAAGACATCCAAGGTTCCTTCCAACTCTATTATTCTGACTGTTTAGTCAAGTGTCCCAGTCAGTAGGAAAAAGTGGTAAGTTAACCATGAAGAGAACCAAGAATTACTTGTTCAAACTTCAGCATGCAGAAGTTGGCAGCCTGCATGGATTCATGAGACTGCAGAAATCTGACATTTTATAGTTTGGCCTGTCTTTGTGAGCATCAATCAACTCCCCCCCCCCAAAGATACTTCCTTCCTGTGCCTTTTCTGCTGTTCCAACAGTAGGAAGTTATCACTTTGGGCACTGCCCATTGAATTCATCCAGTATGAAAATTGCAATGTTGATGTCTTTAAATGAGATGCCAATTAAAGAGGTGAATATTAAGGTCCTTTTTCCCCTTATGGGCAAAACTAGGTGAGGTAAGCAGGGAGTTATGCTGGCTAGGTGTGGCACATATTAATTTGGAAGAGAATATTTGTAGCTCAGGGTTGAACGGTGGGGTCTTTGGTGGTTTCTGAACTTTATTTTTTTTTCTTGCAGACATTTCATTACCAAACTAGGTAACATTGTCAGTGCTAGAGGGAAGTGGGGTTTGCTGTCTACTCCATTCAAAAAAGACAATCCAAAAGCTGAAAAGGAAACAAAAAGACCAGAATATCTCCTCAGCAGGAAACAATATCCATATAAGCATGGATTAACACCAAGATTAACACCAGACCAATAAACAAACACTAAACAATAACCCAGTCAAGAAAATACCAGCTCAGACAAACATTCAAACAGTAATTACAGTCTAATCAATGATCCACCAAGAACACTCCCAACCACACTGACAGGGGAAGCCATTAGTATATAAACAGGGAGAAAACCCCACTCCCTCCTGTACTAATGATATTCCCTAGTTGGGTCATGAAACATCTGCAAGAAAACAATCAAACTCAGAGAGCAGCAAGGACCTCACAGTCCTTCTCCTCCTTCTCCTTCTCCTTCTCCTCCTCCTCCTCCTCCTCCTCCTCCTCTCTGCACGCCCCACTTCCTTCCAGCACTGATGAAGTTATTTAGTTGGGTTAATGAAACTTCTGTAAGAAAACAATCCAGCTCAGAGAGCACCAAAGACTCCACCGTTCAACCCTGAGCTACAAATATTCTCATCTACCATTCTTGGTTTTGTTCTTATTGTTAGGATGAAATGTCAAGGTCATTTTCATTGTCGAAATAGCTACACATGCACAAAAGCAGTAGTGTCCAGGGATAGAGAGATCGAAATTTACAAAGTGCCAAGGCCAGTGTTGTGTTCAGAATCCTGTTTTTTGTTTATGCAACATTGCACATAGAGACCAAGGGGGGGGGGAGAGAGATTCTGTCACAGGGCTGCACCTGCCATCTTGCAGATTTTGACTTCTTTTCAGAAATTCATGGACCACAAAATTATTAGCCAAATGGATAAAGAAATAGACAGTACAAATATCTGGATATTTTCTCTTCCCTGTCTAATGTAACTATATCCCTTCCAGTCTAAATTTGGAGGACTTGCTTTATGTAAGACTGACGCTTTGAGGAATGTGATATACACTGGGGGGGGGGGCTATTTAATGATACACATCTAGACACTTCCACCATCTGCCTCTTCATTCCTAATAGCTTTTGTATTTTGAAAAATATATATTTCCAGGGCTCTGCATACATTATCTCAACTCATACTATAACAGCCTTGGAATGCAGGCTCAAACAGCATTTTCCTCAGTTTACGAACAATAGAGGTGAGGCTAGGAAGAAGTCAAAAGGATGGTTATTACTACAAGCTCCAGTTCTTTCCTCTCAGTAGTGTGAATAAGGCTACAATGAATTGTGGAGACACACCCACTATTCCAACCCAACTGTTCTCCAATATGGTCATTCTCAGGATGCAGATGTATAAACTGCTGGTGTGGCTGAATGCTGGCTTAGCAACCGAGCAAACAATCAGATACCTGGATTTGCATTCACCATTGTTCCTCCATGTATTCCCATATATCCCCATACTGTATATCTATCTACATGTATGTGTCTTCTGTCTATCTATCTCTCTCTCTCTCTATCTATCTATCTATCTATCTATCTATCCATCCATCCATCCATCCATCCATCCATCCATCCATCCATCTATCTATCTATCTATCTATCTATCTATCTATCTATCTATCTATTGTATCCATCTATCTCTATCATCTATCATATCTATCTTCTATCTACTTATCAATCCAACTATCTATCTATCTATCTATCTATCTATCTATCTATCTATCTATCTATTTATTTATGAGACTTATATACCGCTTTAAGTGCAAGCACTCTCTAAGCGGTGTACACCAGTAAGCAATGTATATATATATTTACATTGCCCCCAACAATCTGGGTCCTCATTTTACCTACCCCGGAAGGATGGAAGGCTGAGTCAACCTTGAGCCGGTGAGATTTGAACCGCTGACCTGCTGAACACAGTCAGCTAAAGTGGCCTGCAGTACTGCACTCTAACTATCTATCTATCTATCTATCTATCTATCTATCTATCTATCTATCTATCTATCTATCTATCTATCTATCTATCTAACTATCTAACTATCTATCTATCTAACTATCTATCTATCTATCTATTATTTCTCCAGATGCATTGGGGTCTCCAAATCTCTATCACTTAGGTGCATCTGAAGTCTAGAGAGAATTGGAGACTTTTATCTTAGTCAAGGAATAACTCAAGATCTGTTTGATGAAAATCTTAATGAAGGAATCTGGGTAGAAGTTTCCACAATGACTTTCAACAAGTAATGGATCAAAGACTTTCTCAACAAGTAACAGGCTGCTTCCTCCTCCCTTCTTCCCAAATGAAAAGATGATAAAAGCAGGCCTTGGTCATCTCCCCCAAACCTCCCCTTGCCTTGGGTTAAGCATCTCTCAGGCTTTCACATCCCTGTATCTGAAGGAATTCATTTTTGTTCTCGCAGCCTCTTACGAGGTGGTGAAATTTTACCTCCATTTTAGAAATAAGTATCTCTAGATCAAAATTGCATTCAGCATCTTTTCTTCTTCTTTTCATAATTGTGATCTAGCAATTCTCAGGATAGCAATTTGACTAAGAATTATGTTAAATATTAGCTGGAGTTATGAGTGATTGCACAGCATGGGTAAAAACAGTAAGACGCAGCAATAAAAAAATATCACTAGATCTTCATTTAAAAAAAAACTGATGTGATGCCACCTATGATATCATTCGGAGCTTGACTGAGGCACATCTAACTTTTACAAGTAGGACAATGTTCTCCTGGTTATGGGGAACAATGGACAAACCAGGTACAAATGTCTCCTCCTGCACATCATGAGAACTAATGCCCCTCCCAATCTGTGTCTCCCAAGATGGCCCCTTTTCATAGTTGAATGGACATCTGTTCTCAGTTCCCCCTACCATTTTCCATGTGGTTTCTTTCAATGAAATTCCTGCTAAGGTCTGCCTTGCAGATTTTCTCAACGTGCCTCATGCATACATTCAGGAGGTCATCTCTGAGTATCCCCATTGCTGGACTCATGTTCTCTCCTTCAAGCAAGATGTTATATGTTGGCAGAGATGGAGGAATAACATAGCTTCTCATCATTGCTCCAAATTCCTGGGAAAGAGAAGAGAGAAGAGAGGAGGGAGGAGGGAGGAGGAGAAGGAAGAGGAGGAGGAGGAGGAGGAGAAAAAGAAGAGAGGAGAGAGGAGGAAGAAGAGGAGGAGGAGAAAAGAAGGAGAAGGAGGAGAAGGAGAAGGAGAAAAAGAAGAGAGGAGAGAGGAGGAGGAGGAGGAGGAGGAGAAGGAGGAGAAGAAGAAGAAGAAGAAGAAGAAGAAGAAGAAGAAGAAGAAGAAGAAGAAGAAGAAGAAGAAGAAGAAGAAGAAGAAGAAGAAGAAGAAGAAGAAGAAGAAGAAGAAGAAGAAGAAGAAGAAGAAGAAATATTTTCAATGTCAAGTTACATTGCAAAAGTATAGGAGGCTACCCATTTCAGCACATACTTAATGGCATAGGTTTACCTCAAATGTAAACCAAATTAAATACTTCCTAATTAACCTTATTAAAGCTGTCCCAGGTGGATCCTGCCCTATTGCCAGGCAGAATAAATATACATCCCCATTAATATGTATCAACAGTTTTAATGGGAGCAGGGCAGCATTGCTACCAGGTAAATCCAGACACGTTCACATGGAAATAGAAGCTTTTCTTAGTCTAACGAGATTATGTCATGAATGCATTAGCAGTTGATTAGCTTGCAATCATGTCCATGGTTGGATTTGTTCTCCCAAACAACTGAGAAAACTGTACCTGTAGGAAGAGCACCGAATCGCTGATCAGGCCAATGTGTTCCCTGGTTTCCTTATCCTCCTGCAACAATTTGACTCTTTCTTCCAGTTCCTCCACAATCTCCTTGATGTTCTCCACCGCCACCTTCTCCCTGTGATCCAGACCAGCCTTGACCTCTTCACGTTGTTTCTCAATGTCACGGATCAGCTCTTTGAAATGCTGGTCAACCGTGGCTTTTTCATTGGCAGTAAAATTCTAAACAGAGACCACGAAAGGGAGAAGGGAAAACCAATTTTCCATTAAAAATCCAAAACAGCCATCACAGAGCAACTATCAATTTAACATCTTTCTTCAGGACTTTGTATTTGGTAAGGATGTGAATGAACCTCTCTTTTTTTATGAAAAATCCTCATTTTAAACCAGGGGATTTTAATTCTTTCTGAAAATTCTCCCGATAAATCAAAGTCTCTGAAGACTTGGGGCATAACCCCCAGAGATCTCCAAAGGTAGCTATAAAATTATAATTTTCAAATGTTCATACAGGAGAAATTCTTAAAGACATGATTGGGGCATAATCTTTAACGAGATGCAATCTTAATAATAAATGACTACAACTTTTTGGAGCATGGCTTCCAGTTAAAAGAAAAGCAGTACATCTTGGCTGTTTTTTAAGTAATAAGTTTAGCAAAGTTTCCTTTTCCTAGCAATGAATTTAGACATGGGATAGATAGAGAATCCAGAGGTGGTCATTTCAATGTTGTCATTCACATTCAAGAAGCTTTCGATGGAGCTACCACTTCTGAGCAGTGTGTAGAATCCCAGAGAAGGAAGCATCCTATCTAAGAACCAACCGTGTATTTTATTTTTTGAGAAAATTTGCAGAGCAAGGAGAAAGTACAGAAGTTGTCTGCAAAAAGCATGCCACAGCTTGCAGTCAAGATCTAACGAACCCTCTCCTTGTGGCTTCCTCATTCATTCATAATGTTTCTCATCATACTTTCAAGTCAAGCGATTGGTTTCTGCTGAGAACTTTTTTCTTCTCACATAAAATTTCTCTACTAAATTTCTCCCAATACGCAGATAGGTTTTTTTGCGGTTACAGCGGTCACATAAATGATGTGAAATTCTGGCAGCATTGTGTGTGTGTGTGTGTGTGTGAGAGAGAGAGAGAGAGAGAGAGAGAGAGAGAGGGAGAGAGAGAGAGAGAGAGAGAGAGGGAGCATAATTCTTAGGTATGTATATGGATAGCCTCAAACTAGAGACATCACTATTTTAAAAGTCACAGGAAATAACAGTAATCAGAGTTCTGAATTGATTCTGCTTTGATCAGATCTCATCTCATGGAAACAGGTAAGTTCTGGGTGCCCCTCCTTAAGAAGGACCCAGAAAACCAGAAGAAGTTTGGAAAAGAGCTGTCAAGGCCCAGCAATGGTATCCCACCAAAAAGATTAAAGAGATGGAAACATCAAGAGAAGTATGAGTAGAGGTGGGATCAAGTACCTGAAGAAACAAAAGATTAAAATTTAATGTTCATCGTTCTGAGGCGAATCATTTGGAAAAATGGATTTTAGCTACAAGGAACCAGATTCTGACTGGGGACGGGGAGGAAATCCTATCAAAAAGTTATGATCAACAAAAACAGTTGTATCCTGTTGCTACATTTGGAAAAGCCAATATGGCACAAATTAAAAGGTGACCGGCAGCATCTCTGCATGATCGCCCTCTAGGGTGAAAGAGGAGACTAAGGAGTGAAGAGGTAGGCATTTCCAGGAAAGAGACAATGGACCTCCAGCACTGCAAATCCAAGCCAAACTTGCAATGATTCTCAATAAACTCCAGTTGAGTCAGATAGACCTTGATGGAGCTGATGAACAGAAAACAGCATATAGGAGATGACTAGGCTGAGCCTGAGGGAGGGGTCAAGTACGCCATCAGTCTTGAGTCCTTTCGTACCCACAAGAGATCTAAATCCCACCCACCTTGAATTCCTTTCATTCTACCTACTGCCAATTTGCTTGAACCGTTAATAGCTCAGATTCTTGTAGAGAGCTTAAGCTTGCAATAAATCTTTATACCCATTTGAAATGCCTGGATTTTCTGGCACTTTATTTCCCTAGCTGCTTGACAGAGCATCATGAAATCCCCAAAGGGCCATGTTGACGTGGGATGGGTGTCAAACCAACATGGGCCAAGACTAAATTGCCATGGATGATCTGGTTAAAAACAAGCAAACTCAAAATGGGAAGTCAAGGACCACCACGAGAAGACCGAAGAGGAAGGATGCTGGTGCTGTGCTCACCTTGATACGGTCCCTCTCCTTGTGCCACTTGTCCACTTCATCTTCAAGCTCGACAATCTTCAGCTGCAGCTGCTCTTTTTGCAAAGAAAGTTCAGTCTACATGGGGGAGAGAAGGGGAGTGATGAAATCGCACAGCCCCAAGTCAACGTTCGTGTCTTTGGCTTCTGAATCATAGGGCCTCCAGCTACCACTTCTTGGCAAGCTCTGACTTGGATTTGAAAGCCACCCACCCAAAGCTCTGAGCTCCCCAATCAAAGCTGTGAAGAATAAAGAGGCTTAGAAACCCATCAGATCTATTTATATTAATCGCTTGGGAAGAAAGGGGGATGGGGGGAATGGACAAGAGGGGCAAGGAGAAGAGGTGGATTTCAAAATCCAGCCAGGTTTGAATCAAAGAACTGTGCCCAGGGTGTGCCTTTCCAACTATAAATGCTTTTCATGTAATTACGGGATGATGTCACCTTGGTGTTGCAATAGATCGGAAGATGCCTTTGGCAGAAATGGGGTTGCAACATGACTATGGAGTTGGGCCTGGCCCTTTGGCATGCGTACAAGGGAAGTGGGAGGGGAGAAAGGGAGGCTGCTGCTGAGTTTGATCTCAATCCATCCATGCAGCTCCCATTTCCCCTTTTTGAGTTGTGATCTGCGCAGAGAGGAGCTAAACTGTAAGAGACACCTTGATGGGTTCCATGGGAAGTCCACGAGCAAAGTGCCAGTCTGATAACCCACAAAGGACCCTAGAAGAGAATATTTAGAGCTGTGGAGTCTTTGGTGCTCTCTGAGCTTGGTTGTTTCCTTGCGAATGTTTCATTACCCAACGAGGTAACTTCATCAATGTTAGAAGGGAGTAGGGTTGTGTTGTATATAAACAGAGACCAAACCCCATTCCCTTTTAGTACTGATAATGAAAGGTCTGCAAGAAAACTGCCAAGCTCAGAGAGCACCCAAGGACTCCACAGTCGTTGTCCACCTCCTCCTCCTCCTCCTCCTCCTCCACCTCCACCTCTCCACAAACTCCCTTCCCTTCTAGCACTGATGAAGTTACTTATTTGGGTCATGAAACGTCTGCAAGAAAACAATCAAGTTCTAATCCTCCTCCCCCTCCTCTTCCTCCTCCTCCTCCTCCTCCTCCCCTCCTCCCCCACTCATTCTCCTTCTCCTCCATTCCAGAAACCCTCCTCCCTTCTAGCATTGATGATGTTACCTAGTTTGGTAATGAAACATCTGCAAGAAAACCTCCAAGGAACCCACAATGGAACTTATAGCATCCATGGCTGCGTTCATATTTGTGCAAGCTGAGGAGCTGATATGGCATCCAACCATTCACAGTTCCTTACCTATATGATGTATACCACATTAACGGTTAATCCCACATCAGTTCTATGTTTTTCATATCCAAATGAGCCCCTGGATTCACAAGCAAACTAACACAATCTAATTGCAGCAACAAAGTTGATACAGTCCAGCCTCCAGATAGAGACAACTGGGATGGTTCCTGAGAACCTCAGATTGAAAACCTGAACGCCAACTCTCTGCCTTGTTAACAATGTACAAAAATACACTTCATATAAATACGGAGGTGCCATTTTGTTGCGGTAGCTAATTAATTCATTAGCTGTTAGGTTTAACTCGTGGCATTCACCTCCTCTATGCAAATCAGCATTCCAGCCTCAGATAACATCCCAACTTTTGCTGAAGAAACCGTTCAAGTTTTGCTTCAGCTGCACGGGTCCCCGAGGCTGCCCATGACCCCCGGGAACCACTCCAAAAGTTGCTTCATTGTAATTTTTAATTTGGCAGAAGAGGGAAAAGATGAAAGGCATGAAGCGTAATCATGTGAACTGTATTAAATTAATCTAATTTAATTTGCATGGAAATTAAATTACACACTATTTAACGCTGGGCCTTGACCTGCCTCCTACTCGGTTCTGGTGGCACCACATTTTCGTGGTCCCCACCCCCTTCAGGTGGCCCGAGGCCTTTAAAAAGTGGGTTTGGCTCATGAGGCGGACCTTCCAGACTTCAGATCTCTAAGCCAAGCACCATCCCAGGAGTTCGTTTCTATCTTGGATCAGATTACCTGTTGGCATAAGCATTAAAGTGATCCTATTTGTAGGTTTCTCCCTTAAGAGAGGGATGGGAGGGGTGAAAAACATTTCTCAGTCCTTTGGACTACTTACAGAATTCTATCTGCCTGAAGCAACCCTGACATCCTTAATGAGAGTGGCTTTTCTCACACTTCTTGTCTGTTTGCAAAAATTTGAAATGCTTTTTTTTTTTTGAGAGAGAGAGAGAAAGAGAGAGCTGGTGTGCAGACTAATAGCTAATGTGATGAGCTGAAGAGGTGGAAGGACTCTGTTCGGTTCAAAGAAGGCCTCGTCTCCTCTAGTGCTTTGCCACTGTACAAGCTGTTCGCATCCTGATTTCATTAACAGTAAAAGCACTTGAGCAACTGAGCCTCACACAGGAGGTGTAAAATAGAAAACAACGCACAATAGAAGCACGCCCCAACATTATGACTTTGTGAGATGTGTGAACCAGCCAGCAAGAACAGAGAAGCGCGTAATAAGAAGCAATTATAAAAAGTGTGCAAATAAATTGTGAAAAGAACGGAAGTGTTAACACAGAGGTGGATCTTCCTGCCAGCCAATCCTGACACTTTCCATGTGTAAAGAAAGAAAAGCAGAGGGGCTCCTGGGGGGGGGGCACCTGGGGCGCACCATGGAAATCAAGACTTGGTCCTGATCACGTCAGGTGGAATCCCACCTTGATTCTGATGGCCGTGGAACTGCTCCAGGCCTATGAAATATCACCCATAATTAATCTCTTCTAACTTTCGCCTTAGAAAGTGGAAGTTCTATTGACACCAGGATCTGGGTGGCTGCTAATGAAATGGATTAACTGGGGCGGTCCTAATTATGGTTGTAGGCATGCAGCAGGGAGATGGTGAGATGTAACCATGTTCTGTGGGTGGTGCCTTATGTAATTCCAGCTTTAGCAGCTTTTCTCCCAGAATTCTCACAAAGAATTCTTTCTGACCCAAGGACTTTCTCTTGGAAATATCTGCATGGAAAAGAAAAGAGAAACAACACAATCGGGTGCCTTCTTTCATCACAATCCTGCATAATGAAGATGCCTCTCTTTCTCCAACAAAGCTGTTGAAGTGAGGAGACTACCCTTTAGGTCAGTGGTTCTCAACCTTTTTAATGCCGCGACCCCCAACCGGTTGTAAGTCGAGGACTACTCAACCAGTCATAAGTCGAGGACTACTCAACTGGTGCAGCACCGTTTGCAGAATGGGACTTTTGGCAGGCTCAGCAGGGCAGAGACAGCCTGGACAATTCCTATTGGCTTTTGAAAGCCAATAGAATTAGACTCTATTCAAGAGAGTCTATTCTATTGGCTTTCAAAAGCTAATAGAATAAAAGGGAGTAGCACAGCTAAGGAAAAGGGGGGAAAAAATGGCGGACTGCATTGTTTGGCGACCCCCGTGAAATGGTCGTTCGACCCCAAATGGGGTCCCGACCCACAGGTTGAGAACCGCTGCTTTGGGTCATTTCTTAATAATACTCATTTACCCGAAACTCTCTGGAAACCGAGCTCTTCAAGTATCACAGAGTGATTCCCCCCCCCCTATGTAGAACACTCTTTAGTTGAACAAAAGCTTTCTCAACCACATCTGAGAAAGAAGAGGTCATCCTTCAAATACTAGCGAGTTCTCGTTCACTCCCTTGATTTAATTATGTTTTATTTACACATTCCATACGATCTGCACACTAGCTTAGAAACTGCATGATGGGTTTTCTGCAACTGCATTGCTTCAGGTTACAGAATGACTTGTGCAAAAGGTACATGTTGGGGAGAAGACAGGAAACATGAGGAGCACCTGCATCGTTCCAGCACCTGCCTATTCTCAAGGTCTGTCTAGGACAGGGTTTCTCAACCTTGACAATTTCCAATTATATGGATGCCTAATCATTGCTGAGAAATCTGGAAGTAGAGGTATATTCACTTTCAAATTGCCAAGATTGGAAAACACTGATCTATGGTATTTGCATGGGTGTGTCCAGTGCTTACTCAGGAACAACCTTCTTCAACCTGGAATCTTTCTGCAGCATCAAAACAACCAGAATTCCTACTCAGCACCCAAGGATTTGTCTTACCAGGAAGAGGTATATAGGTTCTACCCTATTTTACATAGCCAGTCTTGTTTGACTATTGGTTCTGTGGAGGTACCAACAATATCCTTGGTTTTGAACTTCTTCTACACTCAGAAGTTGCACATATTCAAGATGATGCAGTTTAGAGAAAATCAGCTTCCAGTTGGTTGGTTTCCTACTCCAGAAGACTTATTGTGAAGACAGATTTGAAGCTTCGTCTCTGAAGGTGTAGAACGAATACTTTCTCAGCTTCTGGGATTTCTCTCCTTCTCCATGGTGTCCTTTCACATCTCCTGTCCTCCCCAGGTGATCTGAGAAGGAGTTCTGCACACAGAGGCTTGTTAGATGGAGTCTTTTTCTTATCCACCATGGAAAACAAATGTGAGAAGGAAAAAAATGGGACCACGTACCACCCAATAGCCTCTTTGGACAAACACATGTTGGCCACCTAGGCAAAATACTGACTATTGTAGAAGAAGACTAAGCAAATGGACCTTCTGCAGAAGGTTTAAGGCAGTGGTTCTCAACCTGTGGGTCGGGACCCCATTTGGGGTCGAACGACCATTTCACGGGGGTCACCAAACAACGCAGTCCGCCATTTTCCCCCCTTTTTCTTAGCTGTGCTACTCCCTTTTATTCTATTGGCTTTTGAAAGCCAATAGAGTAGACTCTCTTGAATATAGTCTAATTCTATTGGCTTTCAAAAGCCAATAGGAATGGTCCAGGCTGTCTCTGCCCTGCTGAGCCCGCCAAAAGTCCCATTCTGCAAACGGTGCTGCACCAGTTGAGTAGTCCTTGACTTACGACCGGTTGAGTAGTCCTCGACTTACAACCAGTTGGGGGTCGCGGCATTAAAAAGGTTGAGAACCACTGGTTTAAGGAAACAGCTAGTGGCTGAGTTGGTCTCAAATGGCCCAGAACTGTCTACTTTCACTA